TTTAGATTAATTAGTGTTTTTACTTAGTGATTTCTTAAAAACTTATTATACATCTCAATAAATTATTATTAGTTTTATACAGGGTGAGTCTTAAATAAGTGCAAATTTTTTAGGGGTAGTATATTTCAACCCCAGAACACGTCTCAGTTTTTTTTCGCGAAATTTTTTTTTAAATGTTTTGTAAATTTTAGTTAGAAAACATAATGTATTCATAATATGGCAGTATAGGTAGGTGATTAAATTTACAAGCAGGAAAACTCAGAAAAGATTTAGTGGTTTTGAAAATTAAGAAAATTTAAGCAAAAAAACATTTTTTTTTATTTTCAAAGTAAAATACACACACCAGAAAAATCTAGGGATATCATTTTATTAAAGTTAAAAATAAATGTTTTGAATAAACAACCACATATTTGTAGGCCGATTCTTTCTATACTTCGATTGAAACGAAGTAGTCACACTAGTTATTCCTAAATTTGGGATATTTGCAGAAGTGTTTGTGCATTTTTTGTCAAATGTATAAAAAGCACCTAGCATCAATTGTTCGAATTTAACCTTACTGGCTATGTTTTCATGATAACTGACCAGAATTCATTCAAATAACTCTGTTTAGTAGTAGTGGGAACTATCGAATGAATACTATCGAAACATTCGATAGTTGCAATTCATTCGAATAATTCGATAGTTAGTAAGAAAACATTCGTTGAAAACTATTCGAATAAAAATTATCGAATAGATCCGTCATCTGCCTTGAAATATTGTATTCTAGTAATTCGGCAGCAAAAACCATTCATTTATAAAATTCATTCATTTATGAAATTCATTTATTCGTCAGGATCGATTATAATAAAATATTAACTGAATTTTAGTTGTCGACGTAGGTTTCTTTCCGAGAAACCCGACAGCCGTCGGTGGCAATGTGGCAATGCTATGAAAGAAGCCGGCATCTTTGATTTTTTGCGGAGGCAGATATAGATAAGGACACATTATTTTTTTCATTGAGGTGCTAGTATTTACACAGAAAATACGTTATGAAGGGCGCTGTTGCCATATTTTGGTATTAGTTGATATTAGCAAAGAATATTATTGTTTGGCTTTAGTTAGTTAAGGATAGTATGTCTATATATTCTGCATTTTTTTTATTAATATTCTGTTGTTACACTGCAATAATACTTGTTATTTTGGATGTAAGAAAATTATTTTTAATGTTTTTAAGCAAAGACTGGTTTAATATATAATAATAACAGTAATAATTTGTTATACCTAAATAAATAAATGCCTTTATTGTCAAAAAATTTTTCAATTTGTGGACAAAGGTAAACTAACAAACAAAGTAAAAAATAACAAGGTACACAAACAAACAAACAAAAGATAATACAAAACATTATACAAATAATATTGTCAGTCTTATTGTTAAAATAAACATATATAAATGTTTACAATGTCAAAGAACATTATCGAACAACAAAATTATTACTATTAACAACAAAATTTAAAATGATTTAATATAAATATTTTTTTAAGTAGTAGCAAAATATAAACAACAAATTAGATGTCAAAATTATTTATATTAGATCCGATTTAAAAATAATATAGTTTCTAAATTTTTTGGCAACGTTGGTTTATTAATTAATAATAATTACAGAACTAATTTGTTATATTAAAAACAAATTTTAAAATCATGAAATATAAACATTTATTAATTTTCTAAGCATGCAGTGTAACGGAACGAAAATATAAATAAAAAATTAGAAATCAAAATTATTTATATTAGGTGCTTTATATTTCTATTTAAAAATTATATTTACTTTTACTGGCATTTACTTTAAAAATTAAATGAAATATTTCTTCGCAAAAAACTACATGTAAGAGAATTAGCATAAACAAAATACAAACATCGTTAACTTTTTTTTAAAATTGGCACGTGTAAAACTTTCATTTTAATTTTCTCACCCCATAGTTTGAGTTCGATAACCATTTACTTAACCACATTACTTTAATATGATTATTAAGTTCAACTAATTCATATTATTAAAACATCTAAAATACAAATATGTACTTTTAAAATTAATTTAAGTTCATCTCATCTCTCTTAAAAATTGCTACTTCTCAAAATTTCCCATTAAAAAATAGACCATATACCATATAAAATTAAATAATTGAAAGATCGGACTACGGAAAACCACACAACTTTTCGGAAAAATTTTGACCACCTGCACATGCACACAATCGTCAATAAATAAAATTAAAAAATAACTACTATTTTAGTATTTTAACTATTTTAGTAAACGCAAAAATAGCACAGTATTTATACGGTGAAGTTATAAAAATTTGGAAGAACTAATAATGCACTGACGCATACAAAAATCAAACGAATACTAAATTTCATTTATCAAAAGCATTCGATAGTCGTGGCTCAACGATAACCATTTAGTCGCACGGCGAGGTTGTCACATATGCTTTAGTATACAAATGAATGAATGATTTTATTCGAATAAAACCATTCGATAGTTGAAATCATTCATTCATTAACCATTCGATAGTCTAATTCATTCAATAGTTCCCATCGCTACTGTTTAGTATTAAACGACATTATGGAGCGTAGACATCTCAACAGAGACGAAATGCTAAGGGCCATGGGTATGCTCGAAGCTGGAATGCGCCAAATCGACGTAGCTAGAGCATTAAATACAACGCAAAGTGTAATATCGCGATTAAGTGCACGCTACCGTGAAAGTGGTGATGTTGCTGAAAGACACACAGGGCGACATCGCATTACTACCCCTCAGCAAGATAATTTTTTACAATTAAATGCTCGACGCCGACCGACTCTTACAGCACCAGAGCTTAGTTTAATTCTCCAGCAAACACATAATGTAACCGTTAGTCCTGACACTGTTCGCAAAAGATTAAGATAGGCCAACTTAAGAAGCAGACGCCCCTGGAGAGCTCAATCCTTAACGAGATGAAATCGAGAGGTACGATACATGTGGGCTTAAGATCATGTTCAGTGGTCGAATGAACAATGGGCCAATGTTCTCTTCACGGATGAGTCACGCTTTGGAATTCATCCGGATTCGAGAAGGCTTAGGGTATGGAGAGAACCGGGAAATCTTATTCGGTTGGATCATGTTCAGGGAGTGCACCCTTATCAAGGTGGAACAATTATTTTACAAAAAAAGGAGTCCAGCCGAAAGGGAGGAGTCAGTTAAGCCGAAAAACCGATCTCGTTTTTCTTGAAAGGTTTCTAACAGGAATCACATATCGTGATTTAATTCTTGAGCCTGTCGTGTTACCATATGCCAATGATTTTGGGAGAAACTTCATTCTCATGCATGACAATGCACGGCCTCATACAGCCAGAGTGGTAAGTGAGTTTAACATCTAACCTTGGCCGGCACAATCTCCTGACCTCAACCCCATCTAGCACGTATGGGACGCGGTCCAAAGAAGAATTTTGAGAATGGGTATGCCTCGTGAAACTCGTAGGGATCTGGTTCGGGCCGTGAATGCAGCGTGGCAGGCTGTACCTCAAGAAGAGATCGACAACCTGATCAGGAGCATGGAGAGACGATGTAGGGCTGTAATGAACAGTAGAGGAGGCCATACCCTTTATTAAGTAAAAATGGTTTTATCTTTTTTTTTTAATTCACAGTTTAGAATAAAAAAAATGTGTGTATTTTTTTGAGTTCAATAAAAATCAAGGTAAATTTGAAAAATTCGGTAAATTTCGCATTTTTGCTTCCAATACGTCCTCTAAACTATTTGTTTATTTTAATTTTGTTATATCAGAAATGCAAATAATAAAATCACTGACGATGGCTGGATAAAATTGTAATATCCCTAGACTTTTCCGGTGTGTGTATCTCGGATATTTTGGACTTATTTGAAAAACGGTAAAGAGAAATTATGTTTCTTTTATCGAGATCTACCAAACCTGAAAATATTTGCACTTATTTAAAAGTCACCCTATATTAGCAAACACATTTTACACTTCTTGGTAATCAGGTAGAAAATGCATATCATAATTGGTCGAATTATGACATATTGCTATTATTTCAATTTTATTGTGTATATTTACGTATATTTATATTGTACTATTATTTCTTCAGTCTCTGCAGTCTACAAATTATTTAATAGCATTTATACAAACCATTGCATTTTATACAACAGACATTTTATAGAATTTGATAAATATTTATTCTATATTTATTTTTCTCTTAACTTCGAGAACAGATGAATTTTCTTTTGATCCCGAATCTTTGAAAATGCGGTGTGCTTCAGTAAACCAAGAGCATAAAGTAAATATAAAACGTTTTCTTAAGTGGAATCAATTTTGCTATGTTTTTCAAGAGGGAAAATAAGTTTAAAAATACTTACTTTCAGTTGATTGAATACAGAATAATTTTCTTTGAAGAAAAACTTTGAAATATAAATTTGTATAGCTTTTATTGTAAAGTAAATTAAAGAAATATTTTTGTATTTTAAACGCTAAACGTGTTTTTTTAATGCTGATTTTATCGGCAAATGGATAAAACAAATAAATAAAGTTTATAAAAATTAGATATTTTTAATAGCTTCCACTAACATATCATGTATATCCTCCGTTTTTCATATAAAGACTATTAAAAGCTGTCCTATTTTAGGCATGAACACGGTGTAGTCATTTATTATAAAAATAAGTACCACGTATAGTTTTGTATAACAACTGAAAACCAGGGCAGTTTAAAATAACTGTTTTCAAGCACGCTATTTAGGGCTACTTAACATATTAAAGCTTTTTGTTTTCATTTCAGCAATCTTTAACGTCAAATCTATTAATTTAATGTTGATACTTGCCTTACTTTAATCTACACAAGATTTTCTAGACATTTTCTCTTCATTAAAAACTTCTTTAGAATATAATTTGGATAAGGCTGAGAGAAATATATCACATAGAACCTCAACTGTGTAAAAAATATGTGTCTGTTATGTGTAGTATGTTGTATTAAAGTAATACTTACCAACATAAGCTCTAACGTCGTAGCTAGTACCAATTGGAGCACCGTTATACTCCTTTGCTGGTACCAACTGGACGCTTGGTGGTGCCAGGGGTGTTATTTCCATTGTGAATGGGTACGCGTTGGAACCAAGCCGTTTTAAAAGTGCCTCCTGTAAAGAAAACATTTTTTTAACTTAAATATTCTTTTTCAAATGTGATTGACAATATAAGAAAATAATTTTAATGTCTAGGCATAAAAATACGAAAATGTATTATGTGTGTCAAATTCAACGGCGTAACCATAGTTTCTCGATATATAATTACTAACAAGGTATTACTTTTAAATCTTTTATATATATATATATATATATATATATATATATATATATATATATATATATATATATATATATATATATATATTATTTGGAACGTTTGACATTGTTTAAAAAAATACTTGGTGGCATTTGAAAAATAAATAGCATGTTCTATTCGGAGTAAAAATGACTTTTTGTGCATCGCCTGTATGTCAAACGTACAGCCTCACCAAAAAGTATCATTTTTACTCCTAATAAAACCATATTCTATTCTCTAAAGTCACTACATTGTTTATCATTGAGAAATATTCATCAAACGAAAATATCCTCTGTAATTACAATATTTATTAGAATAACGTAATTGGAAATTCCTCTCAATAAGGCTTTTTATTGGACTCGAACCCTTTGACTAAAAATTGTAATTAAAAAGAACGATAAAGTAATACTTAAGAAAGATAAAAGTTTAAAGAGTAAGACGAGAAAATGGTAATTAACAAAAAAAGATCTCGCAATTTTTGTAATCTCTTCATAAAAGACCGACGAAACCCTTTTTAAGAGAGCGATGGTAAAAATAGAACCAAATTTAATTGCTTGAATAATTTAAGGTTTATTTCCAAAGTTTCAATATAAATATACTATTTTAATTTTATAACAGTTTTCCAATGTAGAATCATAGAATAGCTAGAACATAAATAGTAATATAAAATATATATTTAAACCAAACTTCAATTCAAAAAAATTTACGTCATAAAATTACAAATAAAACATATATGGATATTGCAGAACAAAGGCGTATCTAGAAAATTTTACAAAAGGAAAACTGTAAATCGATAAAATCATGTTATAAATCATAAAATCAAGAGTTATAAAATATTAAATATTAAATACTAGACCTTTAACCAGTGTGTGAGATGATCAAAATTTTAAAATTCAAAATTGTTCATGATTAAACATCAACAAAAAAGTCGTTTACCGCATATAGGGCTCTCTCCAGTAAGTATGATTTCAGAGCTTTGCGAAATGCGGGAAAGAATGAAAGTGACTTGATATTCGAAGGCAAATGATTGTACATTTTCTTGGCATTGTACAGTAGTGAGCCCTTAACTAGTTCTGAGCTCGGGGTTGGCAGATAAATATCGTGCTCCGCATTTCTAAGTGGATAGTTGTGAGAAGGCCTTTCCGGAATAGAGAATATGTGCTTGCGGATTAAGCAAACGGATTCAAAAATGAATAAGGAAGGAAGAGTGAGTATTTTGAAATGTTTAAAGAAAAAGAAATTCTGGCAGTGAGTTCTCTGTTAAAAAATTATTTGGAAAGTTTGAAAAAAATAGCATGTTCTATTCGTAGTAAAAATGACTTAGGGTGTATTCCGTTGCTTACCTTCGTTATGGTTTCATGTTCAGTTTCTATCGGTTTCCTGAAAGTTTTCTTATTACGGAACACGGTTCCTGAAAAATTCAGTTATAACTGTCACCAAACTAACCAGCGCGAGAAGGCTGATTTTTCTGGTTTTGTTTGTCAATCACTGTCATTTATGTGACAGAAATCGAGCAAATATTGGAAGTTCTAGTGAAATTCTCATTTAATTTCTAAAATTTGGAATAATATTTTGTATTCACATCCAAAAGCAATGGGGGTAGACAGTAAAGGTAAATAAATTTCATTAACTAAATAGAATTACTGTTTAGGACCATTTAAATTTATCATCCAGCCATTGTCTCTTAATGTCAGGAACATTTCAAGAAAACATGAAAAAAAAGACAAGTAATCGTGAATGTTTCGTAAGCTATAAAAATATAAATATTGAATAGATTTGTTTATTTATTATTGATCTGTTTTAATATTGGACCTGCAGTAATAATCTTCACTTGAGCTGTCTAACGAGTTTAACAGTTTATCAATAAAGTACTTTTCAATATTAAACTCCATTGAAAAGAAGAAGCAAACGCAAAAGCAGAGAATAGGTACATTAAAAATGCATAAAAGATAAATTTTATAATAGAGGTATTGAAATTTAGAAAACGTCAACATTTGACGTTTCCAGCATTTTACCAAACCGTTCCGTATCAAACCGATGTTTTTTAGGAACCGCTCTTTACCGTAGTTTACCGATCTCGTTCGCCTGGTTTTGCAACGCAATACAGCCTTAGTGAGTACAAAAAAGTATGTACAAAAAGGTGAAAAAAGCATTAAAACTAGTAGTAGTTTTACTCATCTGCTGATGATAGTAACATGCTTAGCGAAAGGCACGTCCAGTGCAAAAGTAAAGTGTTTTGGTGTATTGTGTTGAGTTAGTGTTGGCCCTATTTTGTTTCTGGTGTTTATCAACGACATTGCAAATCTAGACATTAGCGGTAAAATCTGCCTCTTTGCGGACGATACTAGTTTCACTTGGAGCGGCCCAGATGTTACGGCACTATATAATACTATATCCAGTGACTTACGCACCATTAAATCTTGGTGCGATTCTAATCTCCTATGCCTCAACCTTTCAAAAACTAAAGTTTTGTCATGTAAAAGTACTATACAACCTTTTGTACTTAATAACACCACTATTGACGTCGTGGACTCTGTGAGATTCTTAGGATTTGTAGTAGACAACTCGTTAAAATGGGACTTGCACATCGAAACCTTATCAAAGAAACTAAGCTCTGCCTGTTTTGTTTGCGCTAAGATCAGTTTCTAAGGAACTTAACTCATCAACCTCTAGAATGGTCTATTATGCCCTTTTTGAGTCGCATCTTCGTTATGCCCTTGCATTCTGCTGTACTTGCTGCGCGACAAAATTTGATCGTATTTTCAAACTTCAAAAGAGAACAGTTCGATACTTATTGGGACTAAACAGTAGAACTCACTGTCAGAATTTCTTTCAAAATTTCAAAATACTGACTTTTCCTTCCTTATTCATTTTTGAATCTGTTTGCTTAATCCGCAAGCACATATTCTCTATTCCGGAAAGGCCTTATCCACTTAGGAATGCGGAGCACGATATTTATCTGCCAACCCCGAGCTCAGAACTAGTTAAGGGCTCAATACTGTACAATGCCAAGAAAATGTACAATCATTTGCCTTCGAATATCAAGTCACTTTCATTCTTTCCCGCATTTCGCAAAGCTCTGAAATCATACTTACTGGAGAAAGCCCTATATGCGGTAAACGACTTTTTTGTTGATGTTTAATCATGAACAATTTAGAATTTTAATTTTAATATTTTGATCATCTCACACACTGGTTAAAGGTCTAGTATTTAATATTTAATATTTTATAACTCTTGATTTTATGATATATAACATGATTTTATCCATTTACAGTTTTCCTTTAGTAAAATTTTCTAGATACGTTCAAAAAAATTTTTTTTAAATTGATTTGTATTGTATGAATTTTTTTTTATTTGTATATTTCTTTTTGTGCTTTTTTGTTTTGTGAATGCTTTGTCGATGAAGCTGTTTTGGCTTTTTGTACAATAAAGCGTTGTTTTTTTATATATTTTGCAATATTATTAAACTAAATTTAGAAATTTAAATTAAGGATAATTTTTTTACCATTTTTTAAAAATTCTTAGGGATAATGAAAATAACTTCTGAATATTAAAAGTTTCTCAGGGATAATGATAATCACTTCTGAATATGATCTTGGCACATTTCCAATACCATCGGCGTGTCTGTAATACCTCGTCTATCCCAACCTTGACCCACAGACACTTTATGCCGTTTTGCCCTGACGCAATTTTCCCAGATTTGCTCGACGAAAAAACTTTTCAGATTATTTTAATTTTTCGAACGAATCGCGTGCTAAAGCCAGCTAAAAATTCGCTGATATATGGCCAGTAAAACACTCACTTCTCTGTAGGTGATTTAGTATGAAAATTCGCAGCAAAAATACAGATTAAATGGCTTTTTCAGTTTAATATGATTTGATTTAATGGGCATTGTCTCTTTTTACTGGAAATTTTAATACGAATTTTTGTATTTAACAATATATTTGATAAATTTTATTGAACAATGTATGAAATAGTATACCGGGTGTGTCTTGAAAGTGGCTCACCCCACAAAGGCAAAGACGTGCGAATCATAATTCAGCGAATTATGAAAACCTGTAAAACCTGTAAATATCGATATCATTATGTTAACTTTTTTTTTTGTTTTTATATTGTTACCATTGCACAGTGGTTCCCCTTAATTAGCTGCGTGGTCATAACTGTTAGATATCTAGATATAGCTTGACTTTTTTAATAGAAATTGATAACAAATGCTAAATAAATGTATATAAAAAACTTAATGTAGTACGTATTAAAAAAATTGGGCCCAGTTCGTGTGATTTGCATTTTAAGTTCTAACTATTCGGAAAGGTATACAGATTATATTTGCACATATGTACATGTTTTTTTCATATTGAAGAGGTCAAATTTATTTTAAATGTTGAAAAAATAAAAGAGACAGTTGTTTCATTTTATAAATACAATTTTATTGTCAATTGATATACAGTGTGTCCACGAAATAAGTTGACACGAAGAAGAAAAAATAAGTTACGTTTATTTTAAGACAAAGGGTCAATCTTTAACCACCCAGCCAGTGGCAATTAATTTATATGTAATATACTTTAAGCAACAAGTATAATCATGCCGTTTAAGAGGATTTGAAAGGGAAAGTAGTTAAAAGTCTTAAATAGTGACAAGCAAAAATGTAAAAATACTATTTTTGTTGCCTTCAAATAAATTAATTTCAATTACTACCTTATACAGAGTGTCCAAAAATTGATATTAAATAATGACTAGCTTTAAACGGCAATGAATTTAAATGGAGCACCCTATATATTTTACGTGAATTAGATGCACAATGTAATTGTCTATCAAA